GATGGATGGATGGATAGTGAAGTTATCTGCCTTGATGGCCAAATCTGCCTTTTACAATGCTGCGACCAGTTTTTCTTTAATATATAATGTAATGCAACTAAACTGACCTATGTATGCTTTTTGTATGGTTTTTAATTTCTAGGTACATAAACTTGATGAAAACGCATGGAAGGGCACTGAGGTTATTAACATTGACATTGCAGACAGAAGTTGTATCTCTGATAAGGTAAGAAAAGCTTAAATGCTGTGAAAAACAAGTCCAGACTCTAGGCCAGACATTTCTCATCAATATTTCATCATCTCACTTTCTGTTTATGCCTTTTTGCTAAGCTTCTTGCATAATGTCTTGAACTTGTACTTTAACCAGTGGCACACATTGCTCTAATGTTTCAGGACTATAAGCTAGAACAAGATCCTGCCAAATTTAAGTCCGAGAAGACTGGCAGAGGGCCTCTGGGACCTGACTGGCAGGTACTTCAGCTCTCGTTTCTCTTTATTAAAACTTGTTGAACACAAAAGCTCATGTAAAGGTTTTAAAATGAGTTTTTATTCATGTATTTGTTTAAATTCTGACTGGTTAACTGTGTGTTTGCAGAAAAAACTTGCTCAAAATCCAAACTGTCCACACATGTGTGCCTATAAGCTTGTCACAGTTGAATTCAAATGGATGGGACTGCAAAACAAGATGGAAAGTTACATCCAGAAGGTACAGAATAGTTATTTTAACTTTTTCTGGTTTGTTGGAGAAAATAGGATTTTTAATGTATGGAAATTTGCCTTCTGCTTGTCAGTGTTCGTATGTGCGTGTTGCATGTTCATGTTATTGATCATTCTCACCCATTGTCCAGGTGGAGAAGCGCTTGTTTACCCACTTCCACAGACAACTGTTCTGCTCAATTGACCAATGGATCAATCTGACGATGGAGGACATACGACGAATGGAAGAAGAGACACAGAAGGAACTGGATGAGGTGAATAATTACTGTATACAGTGATCCCTCACCTATGGGGGGGTTACATTCCAGAGACCCCCACGATGGGTGAAAATCTGTGAAGTAGTGGCGTTATATTCATTATTTATTTATATTTTAAGGATTTATAAACCCTTCCCACACTCCTACAAACCTTTCCCACTCTTAGGTTTACCTTTCATGTGCAGCACAGCACTGCAAACTTTAGTCCACGCCCCCCTGCTGTGTGGGCCCCACCCCGGTCTGTATAAATTGGGATGAGAGTGGGGATCGACTCCCAAATAGTGTTTTTCTTCAGCCATTTAGGAGCCAGTGAGGCCCAGATCTCAAAATGATCTATACTCGAATAATCTGGGGTTACATTATGTAGCCATCATGCTATTTCGTATAGACTTCGTCCTTTAAGGCTGTCATTAGTGGGTTAAAGACGAAGCAGAATGTAGTCTATGCCTCACTGGGTCTGTTCATTACCACAATCACTCAGATATCTGCTTGCACTTTTTGAAACAATCCATCTTGAACCTTTGATTTGCATGCAGTTATGCTCCACTGACTCTGTGCACCTGAGCAGCAGAGAGAAATAATGTCTGTGTCAGACTGAAGGCTGAAATGTCAAACCCTGCTGCTGTGAGAACGGGCAGGATGGAGAGCTCACTAAAACATCTGCATCATCACTCTGACAAAACTCTGAGGACAGAGTGAGTCAGGGAGGAGCTGGAGAATCACACATATAAAAATGAATGAATGAGCACGGAGAATCCCAGGAAGCTGCTGTACAGATGTCCTGCACTGCCACTCCTCCGTGCAGAGCCGTGGAGGATGAGATTCCTCTGGTGGAGAGAGCTCTGAGCCCCTCTGGAGGCTGAGATCCAGAGGAAATGTACGGCTGTGAAACAGCGTCACACAGCCAGAGTGGCAGGCGCTAATCAGACACAGGAAGTCCTTGAGACTGATCTCTGAAGTGAACAAGCAGATGCTGAAAGCGACGTGATACAGCCGTGCACACGACGTAGCAGGAGAGCACACACAGGGCAGAGGAGATGAGAGGGGGCTTCCTCCACGTGCTCAAGCGGTTGTGGCGTACAGGACGTCCAACAAAATCCTGTGATATAGTGAAAGCTCTGTGATGCAGAATTAGCTATATATTTTTAAACACCTGTGATACAGTGAAACCACAATAAGTATTTTTCCCCCTTTTTTGGCTGCTTCCTCCTTGAGGGGTCGCCACAGTGAACTAAGTCGCACAAAGACTTGGTAATTATTTTTACGTCGGATGTTCTTCCTGATGCAACCACAGACACTGAGCTACCACAGCCCTCTGTGTGGAGCAGAGAGCTGCTATCTAGGACACCTGGGGGAGCAGATGGTGGGGGTGAGAGCTCAAGGGCCCAGAGTGAGGCTAATGAGGGTGGAGGCAGGTGTGGCTGTTTCACCTATCCCACCTACATTTTGATGTTGTGGGAACCTGGAGTTGTGTCGGCGATCTTCCAATCACAGGCCCCCCTTCTCTAACCTCTGCACCACCACTCCCTGAAGCCACAGTAATCCAGTGAGGGACGACTGTATTCTGTAATGCTGTGGATCTGATCCAAATGAAAGATGTCCGTTGCATTGCTGCATATACTAACCCTATGGCTGCAATTTAATCTCTTTTGATGAAGAGAAACGTTATTGTACAACAAAATGTTTTTCAAGTTGTGTTTTTCTCTTCTCTTTTTACAGAAAATCATCACATTTCATTTAAACATAAAATATTTCTTGTTATTAATATGCATGTAATTATGGCTAAAATGTCCCAATTATTTCAATTAATTGTTTGTTGTTGCAGCTACATTTACTATTATTTTATTTTAAAGTTGACTAAACGTATAAAAAACATGTTGCAATCACCCATCCAGAGCAACACTGGCAACAGTGGAAAGGAAAAACTCCCTTTTAACAAAAAGAAACCTCCAGCAGAACCAGATTCAGGATGGATATCCATCTGCCTCGACTGGCTGGTGTTAGAGGACAGGAACGAGACACAAACACAGAATGGCAGGTCCAGGTGTAGTTTCTATGAAAAAAGAACGTGAGTGATGGAAACGATACAAATACAAACAGGTATAGTAAGTAAAGACCGCAGCAGAGTGAGGAAATGTGGTCAGTCTGTCCTCTAGCATACTACTGGATTAACTCCTTTTGCTCTCTACAGAGCACATTTAGGGTTTTTCAATGATGCCAAAGCGGAAGGGGTGGGTTTTTTCCTCACTTGCTCTCATACGAAGCGGACGCTTTCTCTTCCCTCTTTAGTTCTCCTCCTGCTTTTTTGCTCTCTGTGCATCGAAGCTCCTATTTTACACATCTTCCAAAACTAAAACTGTTGTTATGGATCTGATCAGCTTGATTTTCAACGCAATCAACAGAATCTTTTCAACAAAGCGACAGGGTCCTGGAGAGCCCTCATGTCCCACTGAGAATCTCAGGAGGACGCCGAATGCGTATAGAATTGGATTTATGATAACAGGTTTCCTGCTTTTAGGAATTGGCTGGCTCCTGGTCTATCAACATACAAAAAACCGCTGCAGCTAATTTGGCCCTCGCCAGGCTGCCTGATTGTTTGGTTTGTGCTTTGAGGACTCAAAATCAGCTGATTTATGAGTTAAACCATGAAATGGAAGTGATTTGTGAGAATTGCAGGCCACCTGCGGCTTTGGGACTTGCCAGCATGTTGAAAATGACCTTGGAGGGGCTCGTAAGCACGGATTGCCCTGGATGCCCCCTAAGCTGGCCATTCTGGATCTGGAAGTACCAGTAGGACTCAAGGCTGACAAAAAAAAAACAGTCTGCCTGAAAAAAAAAATCAACAATTGTGTCTTATCTGACTCCGACTCCTCCGGTTGGAGGAAAACAGGCTGACATGTCAATTTCTCCTGGGAAATGTATAAACTAAGGAAAAGCTTTGTCTATCGCCCACCCCCCCACCCCACCCCCCTTGAGAACTTCTGTGGAGGCTTATCAGAACTGTGCCGGCTGACCTTCATCTTATCAGGACTATGGTATATCTGGAAGTGCTTCATGGACCACCTTGCCATCAAATGCATATGTAACGTGTTCATACATGTGCTTGCTGCATTAAGTGAGATATTATGTTATATCATGTTATATTATATTATTACTATGTGATATTATGTTATATCATGTTATCATATGGTAGGTGAGGGACCAGACAAAGTGCAGCCCAAAAACCCCTTTGATGAGAAAAATAAACGGACCTAATGTTCCCTTGCCCGGACGTGGGTCACCGGGGCCCCACTCTAGAGCCAGGCCTGGAGGTGGGGCACGCGGGCGAGCGCCTGGTGGCCGGGCTTTTACCCATGGAGCTCGGCCGGGCACAGCCCGAAGAGGAGACGTGGGTCCCCCTTCCCATGGGCTCACCACCTGTGGGAGGGGCCAAAGGGGTCGGGTGCAATGTGGGATGGGTGGTGGCCGAGGGCGGGGACCCTGGCGGTCTGATCCTCAGCTACAGAAGCTGGCTATTGGGACGTGGAATGTCACCTCACTGGTGGGGAAGGAGCCTGAGCTGGTGTGTGAGGCTGAGAGGTTCCGGCTAGAAATAGTCGGACTCACCTCTACGCATGGCTCGGGCTCTGGAACCAGTTTCCTTGAGAGGGGCTGGACACTCTTCCACTCTGGAGTTGCCCCTGGTGAGAGGCGCCGAGCAGGCGTGGGCATACTTATTGCCCCCCAACTTGGTGCCTGTGTGTTGGGGTTCACCCCGGTGAATGAGAGGGTGGCCTCCCTCCGCCTACGTGTGGGGGGACGGGTTCTGACTGTCGTTTGTGCTTATGCACCAAACGGCACCAGGACACCCAAGGCCGCAGTTCGACGATCGACTTTGTCATCGTCTCATCTGATCTGCGGCCACATGTCTTGGACACTCGGGTGAAGAGAGGGGCGGAGCTATCAACTGATCACTACCTGGTGGTGAGTTGGCTCCGATGGTGGGGGAGGATGCCGGTCAGACCTGGCAGACCCAAACGTATTGTGAGGGTTTGCTGGGAACGTCTGACAGAGTCTCCTGTGAGACGGAGTTTCAACTCCCACCTCCGGGAGAACTTTGAACATGTTCCGAGGGAGGTGGGGGACATTGAGTCTGAGTGGACCATGTTTCGTGCCTCTATTGTCGAGGCGGCCTACCAGAGCTGCGGCCGCAAGGTTGTCGGTGCCTGTCGCGGCGGCAACCCTCGAACCCGATGGTGGACACCGTCGGTGAGGGATGCTGTCAGGCTGAAGAAGGAGTCCTATCGGGCCTTTTTGGCCTGTGGGACCCCGGAAGCAGCTGATGGGTACCGGCAGTCCAAGCGACATGCGGCTCGGGTGGTTGCTGAGGCAAAAACTCGGGCATGGGAGGAGTTCGGAGAGGCCATGGAGAACGACTTCCGCACGGCTTTGAGACGATTCTGGTCCACCATCCGGCGTCTCAGGGGGGGAAAGCGGTACGCCACCAACACTGTTTATAGTGGGAGTGGTGTGCTGCTGACCTCAACTCGGGATGTTGTGGGTCGGTGGGCGGAATACTTTGAAGACCTCCTCAATCCCACCGGTACGTCTTCCACTGAGGAAGCGGAGCCTGGGGACTCTGGGTCGGGCCCTCCAATCTCTGGTGCTGAGGTCACCGAGGTGGTTAAAAAGCTCCTCGGTGGCAAGGCCCCAGGGGTGGATGAGATTCGCCCAGAATTCCTAAAGGCTCTGGATGTTGTAGGGTTGTGTTGGCTTACGCGACTCTGCAATATTGCGTGGACATCGGGGGAAGTTCCCCTGGATTGGCAGACCGGGGTGGTGGTCCCCCTATTCAAAAAGGGGGACCGTAGAGTGTGTTCCAACTACAGGGGAATCACGCTCTTAAGCCTCCCTGGTAAGGTCTATTCGGGGGTTCTGGAGAGGAGGGTCCGTCAGATAGTCGAACCTCGGATTCAGGAGGAACAGTG